CATCAGAAGGCCAAGATACATTGAGAGAAATTGAAAATACACAAATCTAAATGTAAATGGGAAAGAGAAAAAACGACAGAAATAAATATAGGAAGAGACTGGTGAAGGATATGAAAAAGATGTTGGCAGATATATATCTGAACAGACAGATAAACTGAAAAACAGATTAGCTATAGCACCAGATATATTTAGCAGTCCATCAGTTAATCTTTAATTACTAAAATGCCACGGAAGCTTACTTTTTCTTTAATGTTTATCTTCATTTCTTGGGAAAGCTAATCGAGTGGTTTTCAATTGCTTCCTCCATGGCTTTATTCTAGATTGGCTAGAGAATCCTTAATTTCGATTGAGTTTTCTCATGTTTTATCTTTTGTCGGGTTGGCGTTCTTTCCTTGTCTATTCTTAACTTCCCTCACTGGAACCTGCGTTAAAATCCGTGTTGCTATGACCGTGGTTCTTTGTGTCGACTGGGCCTCCTTTTGCACACATACACAAACACACAGACAGACAAACACACACTCACACATGTGTGTGTGTGAATAGAGAATATAGAATAAATATATTGAAGTGTAAAAAATATATATATATATATTGAGGTGAAACTAGTATGTACGCATTGTTCTTTTTTATTAATTCTTTTTACTTATATAGTAGTTCTGTCTTTTTGAAATTACCAACTGTTTCTTACATAGGAGCAACTTCCTTGTATCATATATAAAAAGTTTGTATTATTATTATTATTATTATTATTATTTCCTTTGATTTCTGATGTACTTATTTATTTCCGGGTCCCCACCAGAGACCTAAGATCAAAAATGCCATCATGACATCTTCCACTGAGCAATTAAAAAAAATAATACATAGTTTGCATAGATAAAGCCCTTCGTAAGGTGCGGGCTGTAGTCGCGAGAACAATTTTTTTGTATATCTTTAAGGCATTGGCTGATAAGAAATGAAGAACCGTTCAATAAGTCTTTCTCAACCAATCCGAGGGCTCCAACTACAATTGGAATTGTTACTATCATCATGCACCACATTTATTGAGATTTCGATTTCAAGGTTCTTGTATTTTGATAGTTTTTGAAGATATTCAAAGATACATTGCTGTTTGAAGGGGTTGCCATTTCAATAAGAAGGTACATTTTGTCTTTGCGGTCTTTAATCACGATGTCAGGGCGATTAATTTTGATTTTTCAGTGTGTATTGTAAAGTTCCATAAAATTGTTACAGGTCTTATCTCCGTAATCGGGTGTCGGTGGTGTTCAGACCAATTTCTTGCAGTTTCTTCTTCTTCTTCTTCTTCTTCTTATTATTATTATTATTATTATTATTATTATTATTATTATTATTGATATGTGGACGTGATGGTAGCGTAACTATTATTGCCGTAGAAAGTGTAAACGGTACCCGAGTTCATATTCCATTTCATTTCCACACTTGCTCTGGGGTATATAGCAGAGTAGACTGAGCTTTCTTCACTTAGGTGACATCCAGTCTAGAAGTATAACTGAATTCAAATCCAGGCAAAGGCAAACACCTCCTAATCCTTCACATCAATTCACATACAATAAAGAAAATGTTATGACCATGTCCGTTCTAAAATGAGATGACATTTAACAAAATCATCATAATCACAAGCGTTAGAAATCATTTAGCAGGATCGTTTAAAAGTGTCATAAAAATTGAATAAATGCAACTGGATTATTCCATAAAGACTATCCCGAAAACAGAAATTCGAGGAATACAAGCCAATATTTATTCAAAAAGGTAGAAACAGATTCTTGACATTAAACTTCCTTAATAATGCCAACATTAACAGCATTTCCTCTTTAGTAGAGGAGTGGGGAGGGTGTAAGACATGCAGCAGATAGAATAAAAACGACTTCGAGAAAGATCTTCTAAACATGGCGCATTCACTTTATGTTAGGTATGCAGAGAAGAGTTTTCAGATTGAAAAAAAAAGATATAAAAAATATCCATATTTTGACTAAATTACTTGTCCTTGCTGGCAATCTTGGAAGATTTAAGCGAATGATTAAAGCAAACATTATTAATGAAGAGTTGACCAAAATTAATAGAAAACTGCTCGATTATACAGAACATAAAACACCATTAAGTTCAAGAATTAATATTACAAAGTTGAAGGAGGAGAACTGTGTTACCTCCATTGTAGAAACAGTCTGCATTTATAACACAAAAAAGACCATAATGAAAATTTTAAAATGAAGTCTGCATATAGTTTATTAAATCCACACTAAGTATCCTTTGAAGGAAGTCAATAAGAATATACTAGTGGTATATTTGATTTGTTACGTGAAGTGTAAGAAATCAACCAAAGGAAAATACCAAAGGTTGCGATTGATTGGTTTAATAGTACGACGAAATAGCAGAGGTACGCAGTTGTACAGTTTTATAATAAGGATTGCCAATCTTCCATCAGTGAAGAAACATTTGACTAAGTCACACAAAGAGATAAATGATTGTCAGATAGAAATCCTCACACGTTGCCAATAATCCGTATTTTTTCACAATGAAGATGTGTGGTAGCCAAACGTGGGGCACAGAAATGCTATCTTAGTAGTTTTGGCCTTACCACAGTGAATTTTGATGGAGTAAAATAAGGGAAAATGTTTGGAATCTCTCTTATATCTAAATAGAAATAGTCGATAAAAGCCATGTAAGGTTATATAGCGATTACATCCTAACATTTCTTAAGGACAGCAATAAGCAAAAATGAAACTGAAAATGTTTTTAAAGGGTTGTGTTTTGTCATCAAAAGTAAAAAAAAAAAAAAAAGAAAGTAGTAGATTTTCTCGATGTTATATTTGCCCTCACAAAAGTTTATACAGCGCATACAGTATACGTTAAAAAAAGAAATATTCAGTGTATAATAACACATTATCCACCAATCATTTTAAGCAGATTCTGAAATCTATTTATGAAAAGCTCATCTCGAATTTCATAAATAGATGTGTTTTTGATCAGGCCAAATGAGATTACAAATAAAGAATAACATAACAAAACACTGTCTATAACTGAGATAAATCCAATCTCACCCAGTAAATCGTTAACTCGTAATATTTTTATCATGTAATTATAAAAATTTAGTCATGATCTTGATATGTTCCATATTATTGCAAATGTAAGAAAACTATGAAACTGAAGATACTCCAACCTCAAATATTCTTTTATGAGAAGGAAGTACGCCAATAGTACCACACTTTCATTTGTGGCAATTAAAAGATAAAGGGCAGAAAAACACCGGAAGTGAAATGATCAATTATAAAGGAATCCACCATGAAAAGAAAACAAAAAACAATTTAAAAGCCATATATTATGTCTGGAAGAAAGGAATAGTGTGAAGTGTGTAGTAACTGAAGACACGAGAATAAGTGACTGTGATGTTACCTCCCCATTGAGCGAGGGTTTATGGACTTTTCCTTGTTTTTATATTCAATAACTATTTTTCTTGGCATAATATCCATTTAATGAAATCTGAGCTAAGTCTAACATAGATGTTATTAATGCACTATTTCTGTTTTTGCTTCTTTTGGAGATGTTAACTTTGAAATATACCACGTGACTCACAGAACACCCCCCACCAACTAAATAACTCATTTCATTGTTACATTTAATCTACTTTTAACCCAGCGGTGTATCATTTTGGCCAGATTACTTCAACAGTGCTGTCTAATATCTCCTTTCAGTGTACATCTTTTGAGTATTAACGTATGTAGAGATTTATACTTAGGCTCTTTCATGGTAAGCGCTTTGGGAATTTCGAATAATTTTCAATGATTTCTTAATCACATATGTGTCATATGAATTGTTCACAGCATAAGAGATAAATATTAACCGTTAAGTGAAATCGACTTTATTAATTGTATACAAACAAAAAATTAGTTTATAAGTTGGTCAGATATTTGACAGAATTCTTTCGGGATGACATGCTGACTTTTGTCTCTTAGATCATCACAGAGATTCTTCAACCATCACGTGACTGAATTAAATAGCATCAGCTGTAGGGCAACATATTACTCTAGTTTCTAGATTTTCTCAGCACTTATGACACATCAATGACTAGACTGTTTGTCAATTGAATAGAGGTTAGAAAGAAGTTGCTTTGGTAACGGTACATGTATTAAGATTGTAAGACACTGATGTATTGGTTTTTCATCGTGTTTGTATAACCCTGCTTGATTTCCTCTATAGCATGGTAGCTCCTCTGTTCTCATCGGATAAAGTCAAATGTTCCAGTGTACAATGCTAACGTTATTTCTTACTAATTTAATGCTAAGATGATTTTTATTTTTATTTATTTTCATTTTTCAAACCATATGTTCAGCCATGTCGAACTTTGTGACATCAACTCACTGGTGTTTGTCTATTATTAATTTATGTGCAATTACGTCGCTTTCCGATTATTTTTCCTACACAAACGCTAAAAAGGATCTTATATACGCAACGTTTGGTCATATTTATCGTGCACTGAAGTTGTCTCATTATGTTAATAAAAATCACCCTAATGTTATATTTGTAACGCTTTTTTGTTTTTTTCGTCTCATGACCGCCAGGCTTCCAGTAATTTTAGCGTTTATAACCTCTGCCTTTGTAGACAAGTGGTAGATTCTGATACTATGTGGAAAAATAGTCATATGTGTACCTACATCATGGATCTATCTATGTTTCGTACATGTATTTATTTCGATATGAGTGTGTGTGTTTATATGTGCGGAATATATATATTTGATTGTATGTGTTCTAACTAGGTATATATATGTTGTTTATTTATATCTGTGTGCGTGTGTATGCTTATGTCGCTGTGAACGTGGGTGTGTCTGTGTGCCTTATGGAGATGGCAAGATGTTCTTTGTGATGTCGGGTTCGATTTCATGGCCCAATGCCCTTGATTGGTCATCAATAACCTCTTCTCACCTGACTTTATATCTTCATCACAACGAAGAACGGCCCCCAAAAGAGATGAAGCCCGAAATAGACACATGATATTTACGGTTATTTTTGACAGCCTTCATATCTCTTTTGTTATTTCTTTTCCTTTCTACTTACGTTTTCACTTGTCTTCCAATAATATAGTTTTCTTCTATATATCTTATTGCTTGGATTGGCATTCTTCCCTTTCTATTTCGATGGCCTTTTTATTAATTTCTTCCTACATTTCTTCTTCCTTCAATTCCGCTTTGTCTTCTCTTTCTTTGTCTTTCTTTGTTGATTTCATATTTTCATTAAATTATTTTGTTTTCTTCGCTTTACCTGCATTTTCTTTCTTTTCTTTTTACATTTTCTTTCTTTACTCTTTCACTTTTATTCGTTGCCTTTCCGTCCATTCTTTCTTTCTTTCTTTCTTTCTTTTCTTTCTTTCTTTCTTTCTTTCTTTTTCTTTCTTTCTTTCCAGTGCATTTCGATCATTATTCTTGTTCTCTTTCTTTTCCTTTTTTGTCATATTTTTTTCATTTCATAAATTTTTCTTTTGGCACTTTAAGTTATTCATTATCATTTTTTTCTTCGCTTAATTTTTCATTTGTTTTCTTTTTTAATGTCTTTCATTCCACTTTTCCCTCTTAATTTCTCATTTCTTTCGTTTTTTACTTAAGATGTCCGACAAGCCAACATTTGCCTGCCAGCTTCTGTAGATTAACAAAGAAGTCAGGCTGACAGATTAACCCCTTTAAAATGTATTATTCTAATCCTAATTTTTCATAGAAAAATCATTATTTTTAGAGGAACATAAATGAAATTTCTAAGAGCCGACATTAATCATGTTGCATTTCTAGTTGATATCGCTTAAGGATAACATTTATCCTATATTAATAATAATCAAAGAAGCTATGATTATGGCTAGACGTAGAAGAGAAACTGAAACATGCATCAAAACTACGATATCGTCATTAGAAATTTATAGTTTCGATTGACGGAATACGACTGTTTTTCATACATCTTACTTTCTTCAAATAGAATTATTCCTTTGATTATTTTTTAACATTTTCTTGATTCGCAACGCATGTTCAAATCTATTTATATTCGCTTAACGTTAAACAACTTAAACTGGAAACAAATCATGAGCCTCTGACTTGATTTAAATTCCTTCACATGGATAATGGCACAAAGATTAGAGCAACATCAGCAAATGATATTCAGATTTAATCCTATAGCCGTATTCCTACTTATTTGATTTACTTCATCCTCTAGTGTTTGTTTATATCCAGTTGTCATAGACACAATTCTATGTCTACCAATAGACGTGTGGACGAGTTGACTGCAGTTTTGAAGCATTTCTTTGAGGATTTTGCCACGCCTTTGGCACTAGGAGGCACGTCGCAGAGTGAGCTGTAGACTTCAGCTGATTGTAAATGTTGGACAGCATAGTTTTATTGTCATTACAACATTGTAATTAAGTTTTCTTTCATCCTTTTCTAGTTATTTCGATCGGTACTTCAAGGCTGTTTCACAAGAATTAAACAAGCAGCATCCGAAATTAATAATTACTTTTACGACTTGCTTTGTACTCAGCTTCCTTTAAGGTAGCCAAACATCATACATAGACAGTAGTTGAAACTTTTGCGTTGAAAATTGATTCAGAACTCAGTTTGGCGACTAGAAATCGCACCATTCAGCTGTATAATAATGCCTGCCATTGTATTGTAAAAGAAATCGACGTTATTAATGTTGACAAGGTGAATTTATTAAACCCAGCCTATTTACTTGACTTATAGCCTAAACATAACCATTCTTTTAAACGCTTAAACAATTTTCTCATGTTGCACTACGATGACGTTATTGAGCTAACTGGATCTAACTGTTATTTTTTTTTTCAAAAAAAATAATATTGTTTCTTTCGGTGTTATCCGAGTGTCGACTTTTCAGAAGTTAACTTCAGCTGGTCTGGTGTAGAACTAAAAAAATATCAAACACATTCCGCAATCAGGTAATTCGACCTCTACTCTCTCGCAACAATTTTTATTATAATTATTATTATTTGCAAGAATTTTGAAGTCTTGGGTGTGACGATAAACTACATCCGGCAGCAAGGCCTCTGATCGGGAGATTGGAGCATGGAACTACCTCATAATTGCTGATGTTCCCAGGTACACCATAACCCGGAATGATAGCAGCTGTTAGAGACCCAGCTATGGAAAAAAATAGTGAAACTCTAAATAAAACACTGTCAAAGTTTAAAAGTACATTTTTATAGTAAAAATATAAAAATATATAAAAGAAATGACCAATAATACCTTTTCAGAGGATATATTTAGTTGAAGCTTTAAAATTGTGTTAAAATTCTTTAGATTTCGGCATGAAATAAGCCATAGAACAACTAAAATTATGAATTATATTCCCTTACAATTATGCAGTGTACGTTTTGCATTTTGTACTTAAAAATTAAATCATTGTAATTTAGTTGATAAGGGAATGTAAATCTCGATCATTGACTCTGATCTCCAGTTGTCCAGAGACCATGATAAGATAATCTTAATTGATTTTCGACTGATTAGATATCACGACGAAGACAGTGTCCAACATTACAGTTTTATCCGTGGCTTTATCTAGTAACATTAATAATTATGAAATGCTCTAAACAAAATTTAATTAACGAAACCTTCCGGAATTTATAGGTTATTCTTTATGGATTGAATTAATAATCTGCTCCCGAAGTGGAATAAATATATCAGAGAGAATAACTGAATAATGAATATTACTTTTAATTATTTATTCTTTATATAAATCGATCTCATATTGAATAACAGATATATTTTTGTTTTTTTTTTAGAATTATTGGCGTCATTCATCTTCTTTTGTGTACCGTGACCCTTCAGAATGTGAGCAATCATGGCTCTCCACAACTTCTTATCCGTCGTAGCTCTTAGCAATATTTGACCTTACTATCTCTCCATTCACTTACACGAGATCGTTCAACAGGTTATTTGATGTTTCCCTTTGTCTTTTTGCATTCAGAACGCCTAGCAAGTGTCAAATTCTCCAACAGTTTTTCCTATCATCATGATTTCTAAAAATTCTAACTCTTTTCTCAATGTTGTAAGTACAAGTAGACCTTTTGTTTCAATTTTCTTAGAACATCTTCGTTGCTTATATGCTCCGTCCAAGATATTCTAGGCATGCTTTTCTCGAATAGCATCTCTATAGCTTTTACATAGACAGAGTTCTTCGTAATGTGCGAACCATATTTGTGAGTACAATCTTTTGTATTTCTTTAAGGAATCCCTTCAATGTCTATCGGAAAATTTTCCAATCAAGCCGAGGTCTCCAACTACAACTGGAATTATTCATGGACTCATGTGCCACCTTTCTGAGATTTCCAGTTCAAGATCCTTGTATTTTGAGAGTTTTTTATTATTATTATTATTATTATTATTATTATTATTATTCCGTCCTTTCACAATAGTAGCATATTATTCGATAGATTTTATGACTTATTTTTTAGCTTTTGCATTCTTTTCATCATTGTCATTGTGAAGAGCATTTAAGCATAATATCTTTGGTCAGAGCCGCGCTGCTGCTGATTCTTCTTCATGTCATTGACTTTCTGTCGAGCCACAGAATCTGTCTTCTCGTCCGAGTGAATCCATCTTCTTTGATTTCTTTTTCCCAGTCAATGTTCGCAACCAACCTCGCTTTCTCTTTTTACCGTCAACCCCATCCACATCTCTCAATGGCCAATCCGTGCGGCGTCCCATTGAAGGCTTCTCTCTAAAGATCAGCTCACGGCTACATACTAGTGCATTTTCGCCGCCATCGCTCCTTTATTCTCAAATACTCAGACGAAGACTTAAGTAAGTCCAATCCTCGCTCGAATCAGCTAGGCCCTGTCACAACCGTCCATTTCGACGACTTAAGGTTCCCTCAAGCGACCAATCAAATTCACCTGCACATGGTCCAGGTTAACGCAGGTGTACTTTGGCCTGCTTGGCTTAAGCACTCTAATGCGTGCCTAGATCAGAAATCCCTGTATAAGAGATTTATCAAGAATAAAGTAGGAAAATCTTCTTTCAAAAAATATTGTTACAAATATTTCCTTCTTAATAATAATAATAACAATAATAATAATAATAGCAACAACAATAACATAAATAATATATAATGATAATAAAAATCGATCGAGCTATGGAATTGCTACGGGTGTATAAGATCGCTTAATTACACTCGCATATTTTGCAATTAGTGACGAAATAGGGTTATTATATACATAGCAAATATACGGTTAGGTATATGACATTTAGAGTCGAAAGGCGGGAAAATAAATGTTAGTTTAAAAACAAATTCTGATATTACAATCTATATATAAAATTCTGTGATTGTCGTTAGTCCGTGTGTCACACCCTCTAAAACAATCATACATTGACCGATCGGAACTAAATTTTTGGCATAAGTACAAATCTACAGGTATTTTTAGGTCATTAATTGTGGCTAGCCAAGTTTTCCCCATTTCTACTTTGGCCTTGTACTACATTTTTGCATTAGCAAAATAAATATTCAGTCAGTCACATGTATCACACGTTTAGGCAATCATGGATTCTTTCGATACACGACTGACTAGACAATTTTTTTCGCACAATGGATTGCCGTTATTTTCTGCTGTAGACTGGTTGCCCAATCTGATATTCTACTTTTCTTGTTGTGGGTATTTGCGCGTAAGTGAATGTACCGAACCCTACCAGAATTCGAACTCAGCTCGCCAATTTTCTCATTCCGAACCTATATACATCACAACACAGCACAAATCCTGTAAATATTAGAGGGCAGTTCTTTAAAATCTAGTTTCTTGTCAACCATGCAATTAGAAAATTGTGCGTTCGTATAATACTTTTTTGTAGGCCGAAAAAGATAAAACAATTTATATATAAAACAGTGGTAATTATTTATTCAATTTACGTCATTTCGAATAATGAGTAAGAATGATAAGAATGCGCCCTTTTCATAAACGTAAAGTTACGTAAGACGAATTTTCGGAAATCGGAGAATACCTGTCTTAATGTGTTCAATCGGTGATGAAAAACTCGTTAATTTCTTTGGTATTCCAGGCCCCGGATACAAATGGGGGATGTGTTTAATCGGTGATGAAAAACTCGTCAATTTCTTTGGTATTCCAGGCACCGGAAACAAATGGAGGATGTGTTTAATCGGTGATGAAAAACTCGTCAATTTCTTTGGTATTCCAGGCACCGGATACAAATGGGGGATGTGTTTAATCGGTGATGAAAAACTCGTCAATTTCTTTGGTATTCCAGGCACCGGATACAAACGGTGGATGTGTTTAATCGGTGATGAAAAACTCGTCAATTTCTTTGGTATTCCAGGCACCGGATACAAATGGGGGATGTGTTTAATCGGTGATGAAAAACTCGTCAATTTCTTTGGTATTCCAGGCACCGGATACAAATGGGGGATGTGTTTAATCGGTGATGAAAAACTCGTCAATTTCTTTGGAATTCCAGGCACTGGATACAAATGGGGGATGTGTTCAATCGGTGGTGCAAAAATCGTTAATTTCTTTGGTATTCCAGGCACCGGATACAAATGGAGGATGTGTTTAATCGGTGATGAAAAACTCATTAATTTCTTTGGTATTCCAGGCACCGGATTCAAATTCGGGATGTGATGGTAATGGAGGCGTTAAACATAGTTGAATTATTATCTAATATTTATTTTCCCTTTTTGAACAAATCATCATCAGTAGAACGAGAGACGACAACTAACTCCAGAGATGATGCTCTTCGGTCGTCATGCACAATTAGATTTTTCTCTTCCAAAATTTACTCTTTTCTCCTCAACCTTTCCCCCTCCTTTTCCTTTTCCTTTCTACTCTTTTTCATCTGTAGATGTGCGGGTGGTGCAATGGCTGGCGAATCTGAATGAGAAGTCGAGTTCGAATCCACTCTGGTTCATTACATTCACTTACGCAAAAATACCCTTGGGAAAGTTATGACTCCATCTCCTCTCCCCAGTTATGAATTAAATAAGAATCCTTTTATCCAGAATAATTTCGAAAGAATTGTTAATGCAATACACAATACAATTAATGCAATATTCCCTCGTTAAAATAAAGAATTATTCTTACAATCCAAAATATGTTTCGGCTTTAAATTACCCGCAATGCGTCGATAAGCGATAAAAAAAAACAAATCACACATCTTTATATCATTCCTTCTACTGCTAAATTTCTTTCTCTTCTTTTTCTCCATTTTTTTTCCTTTACCTTTCCTCTTCTTCAGTCATTTTTCTTCTTTCTTATTTTTAATCTTCTTCGTTTCATTCTTCATCTACTTTCTTCTATCTTTATTCCTCGTTGTTCTTTAGGGTCTCTTCTTCAAATATAAGGTAGCTTAATTCCAATTCAGCCTACCACAGTCAGGGGACAGCTTTGCTGAGGGGGAGTATTGTTTAATCGAAGTCGCTTCCTAGCATGTTTGAAATTTAATTTTTCCCTTCACCCTTTCTGTGAGGGCATTGCTGCTTTTAAACCATAGAATGATTCTCCTGGTGACCAACACCGCCTGAAGAAGCACATATAATGATGAAATATTATTGCACTTATGTAGCGGTTTATAACATGGTTTTGTTTTTTTATATATATATATATATATATATATATATATATATATATATATATATGTAAACTGTGTATTTAAGCAGTAAGAATTCATTGAATCAAATTGTTAAATTCAATCCAAAATTCTCTATTTATTTACATTTTTATTATTTTCCGAATTAGAACTTGTATTTCAGGACTGAAATTATGAATAAACTGTTTAATTTAATTAATTCTTTTTGTTTTGTTCAAGAACTTTCGACAATCTCAGTCATTATCAAGAACTGGGTGTTATCACTAGATATTTATTCGTACGCCCACGTCATGCGAAATATGACACAAGATCGAGTCATGGTGCTAGTAGTAGAGAATTTTTTAAATAAATCCTGGCGTCTTTAGATCTCTGTAATTGGAATTGGAGTCAATTCAAATAACGTCATATGTTATACTGTAAAATATGCAAAGTGTATTTTTTGTATACATGTTAAATATATTTGAATTATCTGTATAATATGTAAATTAAATATTTTTTACACAGTTCAAGATACCATCTCCCGTGGAGAAAGATATTTTATTTAATCTGGATTGTTTCTTGTGTAATATAATGGATTCTAGAATTTTGAGTTTTCTCTTTGCATGGAATCCTACATATAAAGCAAGGAGTAAAAGTAATACTTGTAAAATTTAATCGACTTCCATCACTTAGATTCATTTCAAATGGACACAGTTGATATTAATATAAATATTTCTAAGAAAATTACTTCCAAGCATACATTGAAGAATAACATAACAACAAATAAAAGGAACAACGTATTTGGGCAAAGTTATTTCATATTTTAATATTTAGTTATTTGGCTCTGGTTGACAGAGAGAAGCAACTTGGAGATTAAGCGCATGGAAGTGTGGCAAAATATCCTTCGCTAATTTAATAAATGTTTTTGAAAAAAAGATTAGAAAAAACTTATCGCTCAAAAAGATGGAACTGACTATGAATTTTCTCGTATCATTAATCTTTGGTATACAATTAATTTTGTTTTGTTTACAATTATAGAAAATTAAATCGTAAACGTTTCCGTCTATGTTTTTACTAACTGAGCACCTGTGTATGGGGAGAGTTTAACGTATACTGACGATTAAACTGGAATAAGCAGCCGAATTTAAGACGCAATTTAGTCTGTTGTGTTTACACAAATGTCTTGAGACAAAGCATTGAGAGGACTCTTACGTCCACAGTCATGAGTTAAACAGTTGGACAGAATGGGTTCTATAATCTTGGTTGGCAGCCAGGAGAATAACAACTCTGTATTCAAATTCATCCTGAAGATGAATAGACCCCATTAATTTATGTTGACATTCAATACATACACACTGCCGCTACACCTGCAGTACATTGCTGCACCGATGACACTAAGTGGTTAAGGGAATCGGGACTAATTAACTATAACTACTACTACTACTACTACTATATATATATATATATATATATATATATATATAATTTAACAGTGGAAATGGAGTGTTACAAGCTTTTTTAAAATACCAATTCTACCCGCAGGCGACACGTGAAGGCATAGAATAAACGGCCGTATTAAGTTAAGTTATATATATTGTAAAAAATTTCAAACAATTGATCTCATAGTCTCTAATAACCTTACAACTACACAAGTAAATCTTCTGCAAAAAAAAAAAACAATATTGGTGTATCAAGTTACATCAAGTTACATGCCCATTCAGAGATTGTATCTCTGATGCTAATAATAAACCTGCTACATATATTGGTTTTACTACAACCACACTTTCCCATAGACTTACCTGTCACCTTTCTGATCTTAATTCTAATAAACAACATTTCTTAGAAAAACAGCCATGTACATAATATTAAACAGATATTAGTTGTTAACATAACAATACTCACACATACACACAGTAAAAAGAATCTTCAGATATTAGAGGCCATCTACATTAAAACAAACCACCCACACTCAACAATATTACTTTTCAAACTAGTCACAACACATTACATTGCATCCCGACATATAGTTCTGTTGTTGAAATTTCGGCCTTTCGCGTGGTAAGACGTCATAAAACCGCATCTTCTACTTACGATCTGCGTCTGCTATTCCGCGACCGTTAACGTTGCATAGCAATCTTCTATGTCAAAATAA